GGGGGGGGGAGGTACTTTGCCATGTGCCCAAGAGAGGGAGAAGGCTTTGGCCACATCTCTCTCTCTCTCTCTCTCTCCCCTTTTGCCTAGTCTTCTCTCTCACACAGACATCTCTCTCTCACAGGCATCTCACTCTCTTTCTCTCATAGGTAGCTCCCTCTCACTCTTAGGTTCTATATCTCCTCTCTCAGGCATCTCTCTTTATCTCTCTCATCTCTCTCAGCCTCCCTCTCTCTCATTTATCTCTCTCTCTTGGAGGAGAGCAAGAGATGGAAACAGGGGGTGGATCTCCTCCCCCTATTAAAAGAGCGATGAAAAAGGGGCAGATTTCTGCCCCCTTTTAGAGAGAGATAGAGGGAGAGAAATAAAAAGGGGGTGGAAATCCATGCTTCTTAGAGAGAGAGAGAGTGGGGGCGGGAGAGCGAAATGAAAGGGGGGGGATCCAAGCCCCTTTTTGTTGTGTGTGTGTGTGTGAGAGAGAGACCCGTGTGTGTGTGTGTGTGAGAGGAGAGAGACCCGTGTGTGTGTGTGTGAGAGAGAGAGAGACCGTGTGTGTGTGTGAGAGAGAGAGAGACCGTGTGTGTGTGTGTGAGAGAGAGAGACCTGTGTGTGTGTGTGTGAGAGAGAGAGAGAGACCCGTGTGTGTGTGAGAGATAGAGATAGAGATAGAGAGAGAGAGACCCTGGTAATAGCAAAGCTTGCGGTAGAGAGAGAATCTGGTACATGAGCTCGAGGTAGAGAGAGAGATGAAAGTGGGTGGTGCCCCCCTTTTTAGGGCGAATGACATAAGGGGGGCAGTATCCCCTTTTTTATTATAGTAAGCCTGAGTTCTACACTACCCGGGCAAGTAGTTTTAACACTACTCACCTGAGTATTGTTCACCTTACACATGTGCCAAGGGGTACATTGTGCTTGCCTTGGCTATATGCGGAAGCTGAGTAACAAGGCTGTCTTAAACACTGATTGATCCCTTTCAATGTGAATGACCTGTTGGAATATCATTATTTGCAAATATAGGCAAAGTTAATTGATGAACAACCTTCTCTTTTTATTGCTGGTCCCTAAAATTAATTTCTTCTTTCTTTGCTTTAAAACTGGAAAACTTAATTTTATTCCTCGATCACTCCCTACAGTTCTTTTATTTCTTCTTTTTACTTTTGTAGTTGCCTTAAAAAGTTCTAATGTGGGAATATGCCTGTTTTTGGGTTTTAGTCATAGAAAATAAAAATTCATTTGACTAAATGACATATCATGTTGCACTCCTTGATATTGTATGCTGTGTCTTCTTATGCAGATGCCTGTGTGTGCATGTGTGTGTGTGTGTATGTGTGTGTGCGTGTGTGTGCATGCGCATGTGTGGGTGTGGGTGTGGGTGTGTGTGGCTTTTGTTAGCCAAAGGGCTAATGGATAATAAAACAATATTTGCACGTCCCATATAAATCTAGACTGATCTGAGGGCTAGTGGTGGCGCAATTTATTTTTTAATAATTTTTTATAAATATAATGGACCTAAATTTAGGGGTAAGTGCGACTCACCAAGGCAAAGCAAAATAAAATATCAAAAAACTAATACACAATTTTAAATGACTAAGACAACTCTGCCTTTATTGGTGACAAGGGCAGGGGTATTTTCGCTCGTTTAAAATTTAGGAAGTATTTTTATAATATTTCCTTTTTTTTTCTTGGCTAGATGTGTATTAACTGTAAAATTTTTGATCAAATGGATTTTTAGAAAAAACTTAAAAAAATAAAAATAAAGTTTCCATACATAATGGTCATCGAATGTGTCAAAATATTGAATCAGAGCGCTTGGTCAAATACTGTTCTGTTAGCACTTGGGCTAAGAGAAGTATCTACCCTATATATGTATGTGTGTGCAGGGTCCCACATGCCTCGGATGGATAGTTTGGATCCTCTCAAGCCTAGACCTTCAAAACTAATGCTGTTACTCCCGATTCTTGCAACTATTGTCTGTCTGGACATATGAAATCAAGAAATTGTGGAGCTCTGATTCCCCTGAGCAGCCTTGTTATTGAGGTTACTTCAGGGGTACTACACTCTTCCCTCGTACACTTTTCTCACTACCACCTTACATCTTCTTGGGTTCAACGAGTAGACTCTGTGACTCAGAAGCGATACTGGTTCAGTATACTTTCTCATCGACCTTTCTAAACACCTACGCTTAAATATACAAACCAAACATCAAGTTTTTCGTGGTGGTCACAAGTATTCATAATGTCATTTATTTTCTAGAGCTTACAGGTCTCTTCACTATTTAGTAGTGGGGTACTGGATACTGCTTTTCACTATCTTCTTTTGATCATCTTTTTGTCTAATGCAGTTAGTGAATTCCATGGCTTTGTCCAAGCGTGGGGATTGTGCCTTCACCACGAAAGCACAAGTTGCTCAGTACGAGGGTGCAGCAGGCTTGCTTATTATGAATGATGAGGAAGGTACCAATTTTCTGTAGTAATGGTCATTATTGTATGTATACCCTTTGACCAATATATGGATCCTTCCAAGTTTATCTTTGTGGTTTGGTATTTGCAGATCTCTACAAAATGGTTTGCACTGAAAACGACACTTCTCTTAATATTACAATCCCTATTATAATGATTCCCAAATCAGCAGGAGATAATCTTCAAGGGCATTTGGCTGCTGGACATAAGGGTGAGTTTCTTGTTCTTGAATCCTATGGTGTTAACTTTGGTTTTGGTCATTTAAATGCATCTATATATGAATCCACAGGCAGCCCTAAAACTATGTTTTGTTGTCTCCATGTTACTTGTTAGTAGTAAGTAGCTAATGTCACGTGCATTGGATAAAGGACCTGTTTTGATGAAAAGATTTTTAATGGTATCCCATGTTAATGAAAAATTAATATATTTATTTTTATATTTAAGTTTCTTAATCACTTCTTTTTTGGATAAGTTTTCCAATAATCTTCTATAAGTGTTTGCGTTCCAACTTAATTTTTTATTTAATTGTTTTATCTTATTTTTCTTAAATGTTCGTCTTATATTTCTTAAATGTTATAGATTTTCTAATTTGTTTTCTAACATAGACTTTTTTTGTTGAGTATTAGTGGTTTGATGGGAATTCCAAATTTACAGGAAATCCTATTTTAATTTAGTTGTTAATAGAGTTTAGAGGTCTTTGGTAAATTGGACGGATACTAATAAAATTTGATTTGATTGGAAGTCCTATTTTGGTAGGAATGCATAGTTTGTTGAGTTTTAGTGGTTTGATGGGAGTTCCCAATTTTGCAGGAAATCCTATTTAACTTGGTTATTAATAGAGTTTAGAGATATTAGGTGAATTGGAGGTATACTAATAAATTTGATTTGATTGGAAGTCCGATTTTGGTAGGAATTCTTAGCTTGGATTTTGTGTATAGAGGGAGGAGGGTGGGGTTTTAGGGAAACGAGTCTTGAGGAGAAATTTTGAAAAGTTACATTATTATTTACTCTCTCTTAGTACTATAAATTTTGGTGGTTTTTGCTTAGCCAAAAAAAATAAAAAATGGAATAGTGAATTTTGGTGGTGGTATTTTAAAACCAATCTACAGTGAATATGGGAGTTTCCGGGAACTTTGACCTCTCTATGGCATGACAATTCTCTAATACTACTATGTTTTCTATTGATGCCATTCCTATAAAAAATTGGAATTCCCCTACCTCTTGTTTCCTCAACATTTCATTGATATCTAGTTATCTAAAGCACATCCCTTGATCCCCAAAGCTGTAATACTGATGCATTCATATTGGGACAACAAAAAGGAGTAATAAGTGTAAGTGGGCTGATAATCATGATTTATCTCTTTGAGATTTTGTTAACCCTTGTTACCCACCCTCAATTATATGTCAACCCATAGTTACCGGGAGCGCCTAACTAGGGTGGTGCTCCTTCTCCGGAACCAGCTTCGACCCTCCGTGGCCAGGATCTCGATCGGAACCCGTTCCAATTTTTTTGGGAGCTCGCTCCTATTTATAGGATTCTCGATCCCATTCATAACGGAGCTTGATCCCACAATCGCATAGATTGTGATCCCACTTTCGAACAGAATGCATTCTTTTAAATTGTAGATCTCATGCCCTCACTCACGTGTGTGCTAGAACATGTGTTAACACAACTCAAAAAGTTTGTGCTACTGATGGAGTAAATTGTTGTTTAATGGCATCAAGGACAAACCTGAGTTACTTTTCTATAATGAAATATAAAAATATATTTACTGTTCATTAGATATTAAGACGAAAAGAATAAAATTATTGGAAACATTTGATTTATTTAGCTTTTACATAATATGGTCGTGCGGGTTCACATAAATATATGTTTTTAAAAAATCAATAGATCAATTTAACATTTAATGCATGTAATGATAAATTTTTATTATTGAAATATTATCTCCTTTATTTTTTATTTTTAAGATGTGCATTAAATGCACATGTAGTGATCAAATTTTTAATTATTAAAATATTGGATGCCCTCACTCACGTGTGTGTTTTAGAATATGTGTTAACACAACACAAAAAGTTTGTGCTACTGATGGAGTCAAGTGCTGTTTATTGCGATCAAGGAGAAACCTGAGTTACTCTTCTATAATGAAATATAAAAATAGATTTCTTGCTCATTAGAGATTAAGACGAAAAGAATAAAATTATTAGAAACTTTTGGTTTATTTAGCATTTACATAATATGGTTGGACGGGTTCACAGAAATATATGTTTTTAAAAAATCGATGGATCAATTTTGCATTTAATGCATGTAATGATAAATTTTCATTATTAAAATATTATCACCTTTATTTTTTATTTTTAAGATGTGCATTAAATGCGCATGTAATGATCAAAATTTTAATTATTAAAATATTGGATGCCCTCACCTACGTGTGTGCTTTAAAATACGTGTGAACACAACACAAAAAGTTTGTGCTACTGATGGAGTAAATTGTTGTTTAGTGCCATAAAGGACAAACCTGAATTGCTCTTTTATAATAAAATATAAAAATAAATCTATTGTTCATTAGAGATTCAGATGAAACTGATAAAATTATAGAAAACATTTGGTTTATTTAACTTTTACATAATATGGTCTTGTGGGTTCACAAGGAACATGAATACTTAAAGCATATTTAATGATATCTTTTATGTGCATCATTTCTATTTCCATTTCCATTTCATGCAAATTTTTAATGCATATCTACCATTTAATGCTATCATTTCAAATATTATATTTGTTTCTTGGGGAGAGTAAAAAGGGTGATTCGAACCTTTTTAGAAAGTACTGAATGGAGCTCGAACCTTTCCAAATAGAAATGCGGTCTTTCTTAGATAGGGGCACGACTTACCTTAAATGGGATCTTGTTCCTATTGTCAATGGGAGCGCGATCCTAATGAACATGGGAACATGATCCCATTTTACATGGAACACGTTTCCGTTAAATAAGGATCTCGATCCCAATTTATCGGGAACTCGCTCCCTATTCAAACGCGATCTCGATCCGTAAGTTCTATTCGCACCGGAACTTGCTCTTTGAGCTCTGGAGCTTTGGGCAGCTGTCGATCCGATGCTTCCGCTCCCGGAATTGGAGTCATTCCCGCTCTCGCTCCCAGCAACTATGTGTCAACCTTCTTCAGATTATTATCGGCACTTGTGGCCTGGTGTCAATTTTGATTCTTCCACTTAGTATTTAAGCTCTCAAGCCTATAGCTTGTGTTACTTTCCCTTCTAGATTCTGCTATAGTTTGCAGTACCATGAAGTGGAAAATGAAGAGTTCCCTTTTATAACCTCATTCGTATCCTTAACTTCTTGGGATCCCTATTGGAGCCTAAAAGTCCCACAACTTATGAAAAGGTTCTGTGCACGATGTAAAACCTGTGTGTGTAGCTGGGGTAAATAAAGATAATAACTTTTGCCTCTCTCTTTATTTTTTAATTATTATTATTATCATTAGTATTGGACTAACATTCATCAAAAACAGATCACAAAGCTAGCAATGAGAACAGTAAGAGAGATTACAAAGTGACCCAATGACAAACTACTCAACCCTCTACAAATGAGGACTCCTACTTCCTACCACTTCACATCTCTAAAGCATATGCCTCCTCAGCTCCCCTTACCCGCAACAGGACATGTTGAACGGACACCTCTTGAGTCTCAGAAATATCAAATACTTCCTCAAACAGGGGTAGGTGCCTCCTTCCTAGTCCATTTGATAGCATTGAGGCAATTACCCTCGACAATGAAAAGAATTCCAGCTCCAATGAGCATAGCGTCACACTATAACCATTGCATTTTCCACTCTGATAATTACAAATACTTGGGGGCCCTGAATAGGGCGTTTGTCTCCTACCCTTTGACCTCTTAGAATACTGCTTGAACTTGCAGCCAGGTTGCTGCATGAACATCATTTGCCTCCTTTGGGCAAGTAAGAATAATTGAATTGTAAACCTTTGTTTCAAAGATATTGTTTGTGAGGATTTTATTTGTGAATGCCAATTAGAAAAGGCAATGACTTGAGAAGGTAAGTCCTTTGTGTGGGTCACTAGGATAGAGATTCCACCCTCTGACCAACGTCAACCTAATTGGAAACGTACTTGAAGGTTTCCAAGCTAAGTTAGTTAATCCCTGAAATGACACCCTTTTAGCAAAGCTCCAAAAACACTTAGATGAAGTGACAAACCACTTCCTGTAATTCTAAATCCCTGTGATGCCAAGGTATTCGGATGATCCTCCCGTTTATTAGAAGTTTTCTACAGGCCTGCTTCAAAGGCTGATTGTTTTGGATACTCCCCTCCACAAGAAGTCATTTGCGCCATCAGTCTTAGACGTACCCCACCTTTCCAAGTGATGCCCCCTACCAGTATCAATCTTGCTACTGGCCTAATCTTACCATTCCTTAGCTTTGGAAATTCAGAAATAAGTATTCTCCATAAATCATTTTAATTCAAAATTGCTAAGGGATATCTATGGATGTAAAAGTACGAGAGGGCAAAGATACAATTTTTCATTATGAATGCTAAAGTGCATCGCTCAACTAGGTCATTGCTTTAAATTCATTCTCAACTACTAAGAGTGCATCATGGGCAGGAAACTCAACCATGATAACAAAAAGGTGATGTAAACAGTGGAGGAGAGTTTGTCAAGGGTGGAAAAATAATAGTCTTGAATTACAATGTCACCATATTTACATCTGCCATTGTGTATTGTCTTTATATCCGAACTATCAAGAGTAATGTATTGCCCAACAGGTGTTTTTCATAAACGTCAATGCGATCCAGCAGAGAGGTATGAAACCAAGATGGCTTCTGGGAGGGAGGCATATGTATCAGTTAGCCCCCAATCTAGTATATGTTATATGAGAACAAGAAAAATGAAAATGCCGATAACACAAATTCCTTTTGAGTGGAGCACATTCATCACAAACAGTGCCCCATCTCTTGCCTGCTATGTGTTCTGTAAATAGATAGTAAAAAGTCCACTTTGTTTTAAGAGAGTTCAATGTGATTAACGAAACTTCACATGTCAATTCAGTTTACAGGTTGGGGGTGAAGACATGGAAAATGTGATGGTTAAGCAGCAAGAATCTTATAATTGGCTAGAGGGCTCAAGTTCAATCTCCCAAAGTGACGCACTTTAGCATTCACTTGTGCACATCTTCCTCTATCTCTCCATTTAATATGGTCTAGAAGATGAAATTTCGATCCATCTTCCAAATATGCAATTATTTTAATCACTGGGCTAGATCTCCAACTTGTGAAAAATTATACCAGCAGAAAATTTCTTTCTCAGCTTCCAGTTATACATCAACAGTTTTGTAATTATGATGTTTACTATGTTTTAACATTTAGGAGACTTGAAAAGTATAACTTTTTTCTTTGTAATTATTTTTTCAGAACCTTCTATAGTCCATGAATGCATATATGGACAAATGCCCCAAGCACATGTACCCATATGCATCTGCCTTGGCCTGCTTTCTATTTCACCCATCTGAACTTGCATTTTGTATTGCAGTGGATATTTTATTGTATTCTCCAAATCGCCCTATAGTGGACTTCTCAGAGATCTTCCTGTGGATGATGGCTGTTGGCACTATAGTGTGTGCTTCCTTGTGGTCTGAATTTGTTACATGTGAACAAACTGATGAGCGCTACAATGAACTTACAAGAAAGGTCTGACATGTAGATAATCTCTTAACGGCATTTGATTTCTGTTATATCTCTTACCACTGCAGTAAATGATTCTTGAGCATTAATGCAGCCAACCTTTGGTTACTGTGCATTTGAATTTTAGTGCAAATTCATTTGCTACTTCGTAATTTTTGTCTCGATGTTTCCTTATAAGAAGAAACCTTTATGCTGGTGTACAACACCCTCTTGTTAACTATTCTATGTTTAGGTGAATTACATTGCTTTTATTGGACACGCAAGTATGGACTGAAAAAAGAACAAAAGTTTGAGGTGAATGCTTCATTTCAGTGTTTAGAAACTCATCAGGGGGTACTGTGGCTTCACTCTTCCAAGTTACTAAAGTAACTTGGTCGAGTGCAGAGGGACTCGACTAGTTTTTGACAGACTTGGCGCATCCACAGAAACTTGCTAAGTCCATTATTATTCAGTTTAAAGGAGTGCAGAAATCTGACCTACGATTCTTTCATTCTTTCACCATTTAAAGGTTGGTTTGTTCCCAAAGTTCACTCCTAAGCCTCTTTTTGCATCCTCTACTAATCAATTGTTGAAAACTGGGGTGAATCCAATTGGACTCGCTTGAGTCACCTGGGCTCGGCTGGGTTCTGAGCCTGGAACCATACAGTTGGGAACATGCCAAGTTTGGTTGGTTTTATTATCTTTTTGGACAGCTCCGCCGAGTTTGTCAGACACAAATTGGATTCGGGACCCTTATGAGCTCTAACCAGAGTTTCTCTTTTATAACACTGTTATTGATTGAAAACATCCAATTCAAGAGAAAAACACCTAAAATCCAAGATTATGAGATTCTGTTTTTTGAACTAGGGTCCAGCCAAAGTTGATTTATTCTGAAATTTTGCAACCCTAGCTAGACCCACCTTGAAATTTCTTCCTGAAGGCGAATTATGTTGTATATATTGAAGCAAAGGCTTAGTATCTATGATAAAGCACTCACAATCTTGGATTTGTGAGATTTTGAATACTGAGATGCCATTTGGCAGAGTCTTTTGAGAGCTTGGATCAACTTGATCTGGGCATGAGTTCCAAATCTACTTTTGGGGTTTCTATTTTGGGTACTTAACGTTTCCACAAATATTGGAGGCATTCAGGTGCGAACATTGGGGCATCTATTTAAAACTCTGGGCAAGCAAAATTAAGTTTTATTTTTCAAATTGAATTCTTATAGGTAAATATTTTTGACAAATGTCAATCGATCTAGTTATATTTTGGTTAATTTTGTATTTTTGTTGCATTCTCTTTAAGTGAAAGCAATACGATTCATTGTCTTTCCCATTTTCTATATAGAGGTATTTTTTATAGGTAATTTTTGCATTCTTTTGCAATGTGTTTTTACACAAAATTAGGATGAACCTTTGACACAAATGAGGTTGGAGTTCATAGATATGTGCGTTGGGTTAGGAGATCTGAAAATGAAAAAAGCTTTAAGGAAGATGAAGGTAGGAAAGGCTTTCGGATCAGATGGTATACCAAGAGAGGTTTGGAAGTGCATGGGAGACATTGCCATATCCTAGTTAACCAAGCGGGTTTTTTCTTTTTTTTTTTAGAGAAATACTGGTTAACTAAGTAGTTCAACAAGATTTTGAGGAGAAAGAAAATGCTAGGCGGATGGAAAAAAAGTACTGTGGTACCTTCTTACAAGAACAAATAAGATATATAAAGTTGTACGAACTATTGAGGGATCAAACTTCTAAGCCACACTATGAAGCTATAGGGGAGAGTGATCGAGCAAGGGCATGAAACAAGTGTATCAAAAAATCATTTCAATTTTATGCTGGGGGGTCAACCATCGAGGCTATTTTCTTACTTAGACAATTAATTGAGAAGTTTACAGATAAGGGAAAAGTCGTCCACATGGTCTTCATTGATTTAGAGAAAGCATATGATAGAGTACTTAGAGAGTTAATTTAGTGGTTGTTGGAAAAGAAAAGGGCGTCTAGTCGATATATTAACACAGTGAGGGATATTTATGAGGGAATTCTAACTAATATGAAGACAACTAGTGGAGAGAAGTGAGTTTTCAGTGATGGTAAGCCTACATCAGGGATTAACATTGAGCCCATATCTCTTTGCTTTGGTTATACACGAGTTAACTTAGCAGAGGTATCGTGGTGATTGTTGTTTGCAAATGATGTAGCTTTGATTGATGAGACTAGGGATAGTCCTTTTTTTTTTTGTGTAAAGCAGTGGGGGAGAAGGCTACCTACCCGTTTTTCATAAATGGAGAAAACAAATTACAACTCATTATTTTACAACCCTAAAATAGGGCAATTATGCAACATCATGAAGTCAAGGAAGAGAAGTAAAGTCTAGACGCCTAAAATGCCAAACGGTGGCATATGAAAAAATTGTAGCCGTTTTGGCAAGTACATCAGCCACTATATTAGTTTCGTGATAAATATGAGAAATTGACCTTGAAAAATGTGCAAGTCGAAATTGGCAATTGGTAGTTCTGGTATGAAGCCCCCATGGAGATTTGCAGCAGCCACGTATAACTTTTACAAGAAGTGAGGAATCACTTTCAATCTGTAAGGGGAAACAATCCATTTTGATATCCAAATCAACACCTGCTTCCAAAGCACGGAATTTTGCATGGTTATTCGACGTGACACTAAGAGGAATGGCAAATGCAACAAAGGAAGAACCATTATCCCTTATAATACCCCCACAACTTGCTATTCCTGAATTCTGAAAAGAAGACCCATCAATATGCAGCTTGAAATGTTGAAGATGAGGAAATGACCATGCAATCGGTATGGCGGGCTTGATCCTTTGTTGTCACCATGTTACTTGTAAATTTGCTGTTATTACCGTCTTTGATATGTGGTAGGACCACACTTTAGCATCTGCCAACTCTTGAACCTGACAAGTGATCGTCTTAATTAACTATTCATGCTTGGACACCTTCCCTTGAAATATGCGATGATTTTTGCTCTTCCTAAAGCATCCAAACTACCGTGAAGAATAAGGAATGCCAAATATTAAAAGTTCAATTTCACTTCAATCTAAAAGCTATCCATTTCCTCAATGTGGATGCAATGGATGAGTCCAGAATGAATCGTTTGCCACATCTCCATGCAATCGATCTCCATATCGTCTGCGAGAAAATACAATCAAGCAATAGATGACGTATGTTGTCATTAGTAGAATAGCAAAAGGGGCACACAAGCCAGGATGCTATAGAATCTAAAGGTTTTAAAATTAGTTGGATTAAGATATAATATTTGAAATGTGAGTTTAGTAATAATAGGACAAGAAATACGAAAAAGTATACACTTTCCATATCTTGGATTGATAATCCAGGAAAATGGAGAGATTGAGGAAGATAACACACGTAGAATTAGAGCTGGGTAGGTGAAGTGAAGATGTGCAACCGGAGTTTTATGTGATCGCCGCATACTAATGACGCTGAAGGGGAAGTTCTATAGGACAACACTGAGACTAGCTTTGCTTTATGGGATGGAATGTTGGGTGGTCAAGAAACAACATACCTATAGGATGAGTGTAGTTAAGATGAGGATGTTGAAATGGATGTGTAGCGCGACAAGAAGGGATAGGATTCAAAATGAATACCTTTGGGGGAACTTAGGTATGGCTCCAATATACGATAAGATAAGAGAAAGTCGACTTAGGTGGGCTGGCTATGTGCAATGCAAACCTAGTACAACACCTGTTAGGAAGTGCTAGTTAGTTCAAGTGGAAGGCTCAAAAAGAGCAAGGGGTAGGCCCAAAAAGATATGGTTGGAAGTTGTGAGAAAAAATATAGGGACTTGTGGCCTCACTGAGGGTATGGCCGTTGAGAGTGACGGACCCCGTATCGTATAGCCAACCCCAAATAGTTGGGAAAAAGCTTTGATGATGGTGATAATGAAGGTTAGTAATAATAGGAGTAGAAACGATGAATTAGTTAAGATTGATGGCCAATAAGTACCTAAAAGATATTATTTTTGATACCTTAGGTTGATAATTTCGGAGAGATTAAGGAAGATGTCGCGCGTAAAATTAGAGCTGGGTCGACAAACTAGATATGTGCCTCTAGAGTCTTATGTGATCGTCGCATACCAATGAAATTGAAGGGGAAATTCCATAGGACGGTCCCAGCCATACTTAATGGAACGGAATGTTGAGCACTCAAGAAACAACATATCCATAGAATTAGTGTAGCTAAGATGAGAATGTCGAGATGGATGAGTGGCAAGACAAGAAATGATAGCATCCGGAATGAATACATCTTAGGGAACTTCGGGGTAGTTCCAATAGGCGATATGATGAAGGAAAGTAGACTTAGGTGGCCTAGCCATGTGTAGCATTGACCTAGAACATCATTGGTTATTAGGGGTGATTTGGTTCAAGTGGAAGACTCTTAAAAGGCAAGGGGCAGACCCAAAAAAATATAGATGGAGGTAGTGAGAAGTGATATGGTGACTTATGGTCTGATTGAGGGTACGACCCTTGATAGAGTGGAATGGTGGAACAAGATTCGTGTAGCCAGCCCCAATTAGTTGGGATAAGGCTCTCATGATGATGATGAATTTGATTATGCCTATTATTTTCTTTTTTATGGTTTTTTATGCCCCCAACATGCTTGGAATCTTTTAGAAGCAGTATCTTCCCTTAAAAGATTCAGTGTAAATCAGATTTTATCCATATTTGATGCATAAAAAAGTAGCTCCATAGATGTACTAACTTAATGTTTCTAATTTTTATTATTCTAACACTCCACAACAATACATAAGTTAACTTTCTCTCAAATAAAAATGTCTGTAATTTTTATTCTATAATTTAATGTTGCTAATGGGATATTTTTTTGATGGTTGTTTATGCGTCTAGTAGGCTTAGATTGTTTGCAAATTAACATTTCCTTATGGAAAGATAATAAATTAACTTCGTTCATATTTTGATGCATACAATAATCACATTTCCTTATGGAAAAATAATAAGTTAACTTCTTTCATATTTTGATGCATACAAAAATCTATGATACATTTATGCATTTGAGATATTTATATACATACTTATATGTGTATATGTAGCTAAGATGAAGATGTTGAGATGGATGAGTGGCAAGACAAAAAAGGATAGAATTTGAAATGAATACATTTGGGAAAACTTAGGTGTGATTCCAATAGGTGGTAAGATGAAAGAAAGTAGACATAGATGGGCTGGCCATGTGCAGCGCAGACCCAGTACAATACCTGTTAGGAGGTACGAGTTGGTTCAAGTGGAAGACTCAAGAAGGGCAAGGGATAGGCCCAAAAGGACATGGTTGGAAGTCTCGAGAAGAGATATGAGGGCTTATGGCCTCATTGAATGTATGGTCCGTGATACAACAGAATGGCTGACCAGGATTTGTGTAGCCGACCCCAAATAGTTGGGAAAAGGCTTTGATGATGTGGATGATGATTTGTACATGCATATACATATATATATATCCCAAGCATATGTTTATGGTTGGGTTAATTTGTTTTAAAACTAATATTTATCTTTAACAAGCAAAGCAACACTTCTTACTTTTGTAGGCTTTGAGAGAGTAGGCATATGAGAAAGAGTCCCTCCCGGGGAAGGGGATTTAGCGATGGCACTATGGGTTGAAGTTGTCTCAGCTTAAGAGGTAGTTTAAATGCTCGTATTATGGAAAGGATATGCTTGATACTATTAATTGCCTAAAGCATCATCTCACCAAAATTCAGAGTAATGGGTTGCCTTATCCAAGTCCGCCCGTGGAAGTCAAGAAATAGATGATGCAATCCATCTTGGCAACAAAAGGAAAGAAGGTGCAAAGGCATAGGGTCATTGAGGAGATGTGGAAAGTGTACTATTCACCTTATGAGGAGCTGGAAGATTTTGTGGCCCAATTTGAGCGAGGAGGGTCAGTCTAAAAGACTTGTGTTCTAGACAATAGGCTAGCATGGGTTTGGGGCCCTCGGGAGCTGGAACTAGTTAGCTTGTGTGTGAGCCAAGCATTCACTTTCTACCTCTCAAACAAACGCATCAAGGCCCATGACTCGAATCTCTCTTGCAGGGGCTCATGATTAGCTTATCAAAGCTAGCCAAGATGCAGATGGACTACAGGGTTGCTATGGATGTTAAATGCTCCCTAAGGAGTCATGTTAATCCAGACATGTGCTGCTCAAGTCTAGGTGCATGAGTCCTATTTTAGTACATGCTTGCGCAGACCATCTGGCCCTTCCCCAAAAAATGCAGCTGGCGTCCGTGCATTAAGTAAGTTTGGTGTGTCGAGGTTTTGGCCTTGTCCTCATAAGCCCCCCAAACCTCACATTGGAGTATGTATTCCTCCTAGCCACCAACCACGGGGTTCATTTCCGACCTTGACCCAAGGGATCATCCATAAACTCTTCGGCCCAAGTGTATCAGGCCTTATTCCTCTCTTTAGCTTAGGGTTCCTGGATCTCTGACTTAATCAGCATAGCTCTAGATTGCAAACCTTGGTAAAGTCATGCCACTCTTCTCCATAAAGCCATTTGCTCCCTCATGGACCAATCCACAACCCCCACTCAAACTGGGGTGTCTCTATTTCTTGTGGTAGCATGAGAGCTGCGGCCTTTAAAGGCCATAAATGCCCCACCACTATTCTTGTAACATCAAGTCTCATCAGTCGATGGTGTTGCCCCTTGAAGCTGACTGGTTATTTCTTTTTGGAGTAACATGTAACGGGCTCATTGTATCAAAATCTGCATGGCTCAGATATTTATGACTTTTATCTTGTCTTTTAATTCGTTTGATTTTGTTTATTTCTTTGATAATCATTATTCTGGTGCACAAACTAATGTATGGGTTACTTTTCTTCTCTACGCTTTAAAAACCTACCATATTTTTTGCTGTCTAGGATGCCCCTAATGCTGGACCTATCAATAAAGACGATTCTTTGAAGGAAGTTCTGGATATCAATTTGAAGGGGGCTGTTATATTTATTTTCGCAGCATCTGCCTTTCTATTGTTGCTGTACTTTTTTATGTCGTCGTGGTTTATTTGGCTGCTGATTGTGTTATTCTGCATTGGTGGTAGTGAGGTATGTAGATCATTTTCTTGTTTTCTGAATTGTCTATGATTTCTTTAATTCTTATAGTTATGGTGGTCACATATACTGGAAACTTTACACGTCCCTCTATGTTGTATTTGTTTTGAGGAGCTTTCAACAGTGAAAGTTAATGATACTTGTTGATTATTTATTCTGTTAGTTAATTGTGGCTTCCTGCAATCCTTTCTTTATTAAATGTTTTAAAGCCATTTGTCTTGCGTATGCCTCTCAACTAAAATACTTCTTCAAGATTGATCAGGCTTCTTGTTGAGTAGCAACCACATTCTCGCTTGCAAAATCAATTCTTAAATTTTTCTGTTTGCAAAATGGCTATAGAAGTGGGACACTCTCTATGTCTATGTGTCTCGCTTTCTTCCATGGTAGGAAATCAGTATGATCGGTATTCTATTGTGCAAGCCTTGCAGTTACATGTGGTACTAGAAAGTGTTCACATTTTCTAGTGGTGGCCAGTCGTGCCCCTTTAAAAGTTAACATGGGACCAGAATGTTCTTCATTTGACCAGCTAATTCATCTCAGCATATATCTGGAGTTTTGCTTCACAACAAGATTCTATACATAGTGCTCGTCAAACTGGGTATGGACTGGTGCCTTCTCCGGCCTTTTTGGCTAGACCAGTTGCATGTTTATTGCCTAAGTGGTTTGGACGTTTTTTCAACTAGCTTGCTATTTTCTTTCCAAAGTATGGATCAGAGAACTTGCTTTTTGCTATTTTATTGGAGAAAGTGCATTTTAGGGGTTGTTTGATTTGTGTGGAAGTATTTACCTAGAGAGAGCTTTCACATATTGGATGGTCTGCCCATCGGAAAGTTGGTTCATACATCTTTAGGTATGTATGTTCTTTCCCACAATGGCATTGATGGAGCACTTTACGTTCACATGGGTGGACCGATTTCCCATGAGCCGAATAAGGAAAGTGATGGTCGTACTGGAAAGTTCTTTCCTGGAAAGAACTCTCTCACAAACCAGCCTACCCCTTATGTCTTATCCATAAACAGCAAGAGGAGAGTGATAGTGGCCTCTGTAATCCTTTTTGAAAAAATCATGATGAACTGTACATTCTTGGACACAGTTTTGAACCTGATGTATACTTGTTTATGTTTTGACTTTTAGTAATGAAGTAAAGTTACCCATCAAAAAAAAAAAAGAAAACAAGATTGAAAGAGGAGGGTGATGGCAAGTTTTTGGCATTGACATGTTAGGCATTGTCAATTTTTCTTGAGGAAAGGGCAAAATGATCAAAGAAATGAGAATCCAAAAATGCTCATAGTGGTTGAGCAGTGTTTCCAAACATGCTTTATTATCACACCTAGAAGTGAGATAGGGGATGGATGTTTGGAGATGGTTTTGATGACATTGATTGCGGTATGGAATGGGGATTTTGTCTCTGACCCACCTTCTAATTCCAGAGAGGTTATTGCACACTCATAAAATTACTGTTTTATTGACTGTGATTAATGAGTTTTTCATCCCTCTTCCTATGCAAATCTCCTTCAGAAACGGAATTGCAATTTGTTGCTGTATTTCTAAGATTCTCTCTCTCTGTCTCTGTCTGTCTGTCTGTCTGTCTGTCTCTCTCTCTCTCTCTATATATATATATATATATATATATATATAGATATATATATATATAGTAGGGAAGGTATCAGGTACCGCCAAGGTTATGTTTGTGGCTCTGACATTTTCTCAATGACATTTTCATGAATGAGGCCATTGCAAGTATTGAAAATAAACAAAACAAAGACATTGCAATAAACAGAAATTGAGTTTTAAATCTCATAACATTGGGAGAGAGGTAGAGAGTGTGTGGGTTTTATAGAGAGAGAAAGGGAAGGGTTTCTTGCTGGTGTAGGAGAGGAGAGTGGGAGAGTTGAATGCAGTAGAAAATCTAGAGAGAGGGTGAAGGAGAGGTAGAAAGAGTGGGTTTTATAGAGAGAGAAAGGGAATGATTTCTTGCTGGTTAGAGAGAGAAGGATAGTGGGAGAGCTATATGCTCTAGAAAATCTAGAGAGAGGGTGAGGGAGAGAGGTAGAGAGTGGGTTTTATAGGGAGAAAGGGAAGGGTTTCTTGCTGGTTAAAGAGAGAAGGTGGGAGTGAGGCATATGCAGTAGGAAATCTAGAGAAAAGTTGAGGGAGAGAGGTAGAGAGAGAGTGGGCTTTGTGGAGAGAGAAAAGGAGGGGTATCTTGCTGGTTAGAGAGAGGAGGGGAAAGCAATATGCAGCAGGAAATCTAGAGAGACGATGAAGAAGAGAGGTAGAGAGTGTGGGCTTTTTTAGAGAGAGAAAGGGAGGGTTTTTTTCTGGTTAGAGAGAGAGGAGAGCCGTATGCAGCAGGAAATTTAGAGAGAGGGTGAGGGAGATGTAAAGAGAGAGTACTTTTAGGGGTGTTGGGATGGAGCAGGGACCTCGGGCTTGCACAGGTCACTGGGATGTGGTTAGAGAGAGAATGAGGGTGGGCTGTGGGTTTTTACCAGGAGAGAGAGAGAGAGGGGAAATTGGGGATGAAAAGAGAGAGGATTTCTGGAAATAGAGAGACTGGGTGTGTGCCATAGGCCTTCACTTGGGGAGAGAGAAGGAAAGGGAGAGAGAGGTCATGGGTGGGAAGGAATATGGACTGCTCTGGGTGTGGGGTGTCAGTTGGTATCAAGCTTCAATTTGAATCTCCATTTCATCAAGGGTTCAATTTGGCCCAGAAAATCACTGCCATTCTGTGCACCCATTTTCTGTACGCAAGCCTGCATACGTGATCCTTTCCCTCTCTATATATATCAGTGTATAATCTGGCCATTTATTTTTTATATTCTTACCCTTGTTTTGGGTGTGAATGGAAAAACGATGGATGGAGATTTGGCAAAAGTGTGTACAAATGACAATGCCCTAAAACTATTATCTTTCATTCTAGTAAGTAGGCTGTGCGATGCACAGGCATGTAGAGAGAGTTCCAATAAGATTTTGAGGGTCATTTTTATTGCAAAAAGAAAACTCCTGATTTTTTTTTTTCTTAGTCTTGGGTAGAAAACCATTTGGGATGTTTATCAAATGAAGATAAATATAATTTTGTTTAAATAAGTATCATAACACAAGATTCTTAATCTAACTTGGAAGTAATATTCTATCTTTAGGCAGACATGAAATCTACTAAATGGAGTTGGTTAGAAAATTTATAAGATGCTGGAAGCGAGGGTCTTTGGGGAGTTTTTGTCCTATGTTTGAATCCTACCATTAACTACCCATAAAAAGGTCTATGGGAAACCTGTTAATTACGTCTTAATACTATATATGACTTTCAAAAAAATAAATCTAAATATATGTTCTTAAAAGATATGCTATCGGTCTAGTGTTCTATAATTCTATAGCTTCATATTTTTATCTTTTCAAAGCTTCAAGGTTAGATTTGGTTCTAACATATGTAAGCAGGGGTACACATGCCCCTCCAAATGCACTTTTAATAATATAGTCAATATTAAAGAAGTCGGAATCGACTACCTAGTTATAGTCAATACTAAAGAAGTCGCAATCGACTATCTAGCTGGGCACCTAGTCCCTTAGGCGACTGGTCTAGGGAAACAGGTTTTCTAGTAGGCCGTAAGAATGATATTTGGGGGGGTGGTTCAGATACCAAACCCCGCAAATTGATCTTATAAAATCATATTTTTGAAAATACAAAAAAATGGAAAACAATTTCTAAATCCCTCAGACTCTCATGCATATATGAGTTCAAAATTCAAATTGAAACACTATAAAACTAAACAAGATTCAAAGCTGCCCATCCTCAAAATCAACATTCTACATCATCAATTCATCTCTGCCAACAAAAAAAAAGGTCGCATCGCACAAATCTCATCTTAAATTACTAACAAAACTCATAATTGTCTAAAGAAAAACGATGCATCAAATATGATGTCCTCAAACTGGTAATTGGGTTTCTTCATCACCACGAAGTATGGACAATGTCTACATTTCTACTAACACAACCTAATGCACCTGATGTTGTTGCCATGCTATCATCATTACAGCCGTTTCCTCCACATATTCTTCTTCTCCCCCAGTCTCATGTGAATTTCCCGCCTCCTGCCCACCCTTCTCTCGCACTCTCTTCAGTCTCTTCCCCCAAGATTTAGATCTTTTGGCTCTCAAGGGGCTTAATTCGCTTCTGGTTGCCTCACAAACTTGGCTCCAAGTCATGTTCTCCCCTGAAATTTTGGATCATCTCTAGCATCCACCAACCACTCGCATGTGTCGTCCATATTAACTGTAATAGGGTCGATTACATTACGATCTAGGGTTCTAGAGAGTATTCCTTAAACATTTGATTTTACTGAAAAAAAATGAGGTTGTTTAGTATTGTCTGCTCAAGCCTATTACTCTTTTTTGTATGTATTTGTTTGGATCGAGCATGATGCATTATTAGAACTTAAAAAAAAAAAATTATATAAAACAAGTACGAGTTAAATGGACAATTCATTTCATAAGTTCAGAAACTACCATCTCAATAACTAAAGTTGCTCTCTCAACCCATTGAGCTGCATGCCAAACTCAATATGTTCATAGCCATCCTCTACAAATGAGTGGCATTTTGCCTGTGGTTGGTTCATAATAAACCTACACCATTAGTTTCAAATGCACATAATGCATTATCAATGTTAAAAAAGTTGGCCGCCAGGCTGTCAACATGCTTTTCCTAGACCGGCTAGGCGGTCACCTCAAGGCCGGGCATGCCATGGTAGGGTTGGCAATGGGTCGGGTGGGGTTCGGGTTGACTTGGACTTGGATCACACCCAGATCTAACTCAGGTCTAGGGTTTTGGACCTCAACATGATTGGGTCCAAAACTTGGACCCTGACGTGACCCATTGGATCTAAAATTTGGACCCTGACCCGACCCGGTTCAGGTTCGAGTTGGGTTTGGCTCTAGAACCTAACAAAATGTTTTTGAAGAAATATTCAAAAAAATATATTTTCATATATATATTT